GCAAAAGCGCAGATGTTAAATTCGTCCCACAGATGGGAAAAGTATGGGGAAAGGAGCATGGGAAAGGGTTAGCATGAGGATAGAGTCAATTTCTTTATACAGTTTAATAGAGGCTCAGAATGTAAATGAGTCACCTTAAGGTGGTAATCAGAGTGAGGATGTCTAAGATTGGATTGACACAAATGGTACCTTAGATGACTATGCATCATGTAAGGTACCATTAGAGAACCAGAGGTAAGAAAAAAGCCATTCCAAATTATGTTGTACTTTACTGCCTTCATGTTCAGCTGGCTTTCACCAAGTATTACTGAATAATTTTCACAACCAAATTTAATCATGCTTGTGTGTGTGTTGCATATCTGTCTCTCTGTGTGTATGTATAAGAAGTGAGTTTGTTTCTTCCAATTCTTGCCCATTAGAGAGATCTGATACATTGCACAAAAGTATAGCTCAAATATTTTCTTAGCAAATCTTGTGACTATGGTAAAGGGCAGGCCGATAGTTCTCTAGGCAATTCTTTCTTAACTTTCAACAATAAGAGATAACTACTGTTTGTTTCCCAGAAATTCCAGATCAACAATAAGATATGCAAATAGCTTTTATAGAAGAAGGTGCATCATGAGGATATTATTTTATTACCTGCTGCAGTATATGGAGAGGCATTAGTGTTACCTTGCCCACTTGGACTCTTGAAATTCACCTTAAAATTCAGGATTAGTGAGAACAAATTGACTTTGAGAAATTAAAAAAAGTAGGAATAGCCGTAAAGAATAATGATGGCTTAGTTTGATATTGTAAGTTCCTTCTTTCCATCTCTTGGACATCTCCCTTTAATCCTCAACATTTATTAAATTTTCATAAATTAATAAGGTGCATCAAAAGGAACCGGCTACTCAGAGAATCTTGTCATGAGTTCTTAGGTAATTTGAAGTATGCTAACTAAATTTGTGAATTCATATCCTACACAGTTTTTAAAAAGCATGGTGCATGGCAACTGCTCCTTTGACATGATTGCCCTCACCATTCAAATCATTATCTGTATTAGTCGTATAGCACTTGAAGGTGAGGCAGGCAGGGCTTTCTCAGGTTGCCTAACGCTATGGCTTCCCTTTTGCACTTTCTTAAGTGTCAGACCCTATGTCCATCAATGGTCCTTACTTTGGAGTGAAGCCAATCTCAGGTTTCTGGGGACTTTACTTGATACTATAGTTCTAGTCCTCTCTTGTGCTGGACACTGGGATGCAAAGATGATTCAAGATGTGTTCCCTGCCATCTAGAGGATCA